TAGATGACGATACGAGCATGATTGACCAGTTCACGGTCCTTTATCAACTGACGAGCACTGTACGTATGCTTATTAAGCTCAATAACGAGGCCGTTTATTTTGTTTCACCTTCGAGGTTATCCATTTATTTACGTAAGGATACATACCGACGGCAGGACGAATGAAGATAAACTTCGACTTCCATTCGGTCACGTTCGACGAAAGATCGTCGAGGAAAGTGACGCCGGCACGACGACCCAGACAATGGGCGCCTTTGGAAAGACGATAACCGTAGCAATAAAAGAAAAACTCGGGAGAAAAGAATTTGAGTATTATTCGGAAAACAACTATGAAAGCTATCATGATGCGAATAGCATTTGGGGAAAATTGATTGATGGGAATATTGTACAAATTACTAATTAATATTAGCTCGTCTTGGATAGGAAAGCGAAGGCCAAAGACGACTTGGTCTATGAAAAATGTGTGACAGCCGGGGGGAGGATGAGCGAAATCGTCGTTAGGACCAGGGGCGACTAACTCCCAATCTGAGGGAAGCCCACTGAACTTTCTGAAGCCCTCGACTTCGGCTGCAGAGGCATAACAAAATGGATTTAGAACAGCTAACCTAGCCAAGGGACAAGCTATAGATACAGTATTTTGAGAATTGAGAAGAGGAACAACTATTGGTACAGATACAGAGCTCGTTCTATAAACAGGGATATCTAAGAACCTAAGAGGAATACCTCGGGGAATGAGATCGAGGCGAGGAAGATCTCCTCGAGGAGGGCTCTTTACAATGTCGACTAAGCCGCCCTCCAAGAGCGCTTGGTCGGGCTGCTCCCAGTCGACAGAAGAAGCAGTGGCGAGAGGAGGAGAAGAATGGGAGGGCAGCGAAACCATCCTAAAGCCGGTCACCTCGACGGAGTCAGAGCTAGAGCCCTCATCGACTAGATGGGTATAATTGTTGATCTGTTGACCGAGGGAGCCGGATAGAGGGGACGAGTCGGAAGCTAAGGAAAGAAAAAGGAGGAGAAGGTCGACGTTAGTAAAGTCACGAGTAAGGGCCTACAAGATCGAATCAGGACGACTCGCAATAATCGACAAAGGAAGAAAGAACAAAGAAGAGGCAATCGCTATCGGTATCTCGACCTAAATAAACTAGTAAGTCAACCATAGTCGACTCGGAAAGAGAACTGAAGAAAGAAGGCCACTAAGTCGGCAAGAGCCGACTTAGTGACAGATGAAAGTCGACTGCTCATCGGCAGCCGACGACTGGTAAAAACAACAAACTTTAACAAAATATACGCGTAAAGAGATCTAAGCGCGAAATCCGTAAAAAATTCAGGAAGAATATGAAGAACATGCATGAACTCCGAAAGTTCTGGGAGTCCAGAAAAAATCAGAAAAAAAAAAAAATCAACAGAGAATTGAGAATTAAGAGATAGTGAACTTACACATGGTTGCCGGATCGAATTAAAAGAAGTAAAAGTCGGCGGAAACGAATATCGCCGGTGAAGCCGAAACTCGCAGGCCGCCGGAAAGCTTGAAGGAAGTTGAGAAAGAGAGAAAGAGAGCAAGAAGTTTTAAGATGCGGAAAGTGGTTTATGGAGAAAGTGAAGTATATTTATATAAGGAAGGGGTGGTTGTGGAGCGTTGGATCATTAAGAGAACCAACGATCCTGATAAGGCACGGAATTCGAAGGGACAGCGCTGAAGATGATGCGCGTCACTTTAGGGTTTTGAAATTTGAAATTTGAAATGGGTCTGTCAGAGTGTCAGACTTATCCGAAAGAGCAATCATGAGATTGAGGCGCGCCCTAATCGATTGACGAGACAAGTTGCAGAAGAGGCCAGTACGAGCAAGAATGGCAGGAAGGCGACACACCAAATTTACTCTTAAGCAGTCGACTGCTTAGAGTGATTTTTGGGGGGGGACTAGATGATATAGCCACACAAGGATAACCGGGTCTAGAAGCTCCCTACCTGACCGGTGAACCACTCGAACAACTCGCATGTCGACGCGACTCTGTCGACATTCTCACATCGACTTCCCTAAAGACGATTCTACTAAGAGCAATCGAGGAGTGGCAGAAATTGGTCTAGTCGACTCTCCCAAGTCGACTTTAGTCTATCGACTTTTACTAGTCGATATCAATGAAAGAAGGGCAGCAAGAGTATAACGCCCGAGCATCCCGATATCCTAAGTCGACTCTCATCAGTCGACTGAACTAAGACGACTCTCTGAAGACGACTTCACCTCAAAGGATTAGCCAAGCGTAGCCTCCGAATCCGCACATATCCACGAGTCGACCTCCTAGCTCTCGAAGTCGACCTCGCATACCTCGAATAACAAAGATGTGATGACGACTCATCACACTTGCAACATACTTAAAGTTCTACATATTACAAAGGATAAGAAGGAATCTGGTGATGACTCAACAACAAGGGGAGACGAATCGACCAGGGCATTTTGGACTTTCTAGGTCCACCGACTTGGGCATTCTGGGTACTTCAGGTAAATATTCACTCCTATATAAAGGAGGTGAGGTAACCCTAAAACCCTAACTCTCATTCATTCCCACTCTCCCCCATAGCTGCTGCGCAGCTTCTCCTCATCTTTCTGATACTGACTTGAGCGTCGGAGGCTCTACGCCGGAAACACCTCCGGCGTTGAGTTTTTGCAGGAATCTCGCGGTCTAGAGACGGTTGAGAAGCGGTTCAAGCATATCTGAGCTCACAACAACCGGTTTACTCCAGATCTGGAAGTAGATCCATCAATTATTATTATTTTAATTTAGACTGAAATTAAGGGAGAATTATGCAGATTCTCAAATATTAATAACTAGTAGAGTACAAACAGCCGTCTATTATATGGCCGTGTTGTTAATAAAATTATATTTATTAAACAAAAACAGAGAATTTTATGTTTTAGATTTTAAATATTTCTTTGAAAGTTGTACAATTTATTTATATTTAAAGTGATACGATTTACTTATTGTATATTATAATAATTTTGTAATCTCTATTATTGGATTGGCAAATAAATTTACTTAATTGGAAAATAATTTTATTAATTTCGATTTATATTAATAGATAATTTAGTTATTAAGCAATATATGCATGATTCATTTAATATATTATACGTGAAAATTTGTCAAATATACTAAAGCTATTAACTTGTGAAAGTCATGCCATAAGTTCACATATAGGATTACGAAATACCAATTGACACATATGATTACAAAGCACAAAAATTGATACATATAATTATAAAACACCAGAAATTGACATTTCAAAAGTTGAAACATATGATTATGAAACACTAATTGACACATACAATTACAAAGCACACAAAACTGACACGTATTGTAAATTTTTAGGTGTTTTTCGTTATTATTTGTCAATTGAATGCAAAGATATAATATTTCATTGCTATATTTTGTTAGATGTTGGGTTTAATAAAGTTGTATGTATAATGCAGTGTTAATCCATTGGTGATCCGGTGGTAATCCCCTTCTGTTGGTGATTACAAAGCATCAGAAGTCGACATTTCGGCTCAACAAAAGTTGAAACATAGGATTATGAAGCATCAATTGACACATGATTACAAAGCACACAAAATTGACACGTGTTGTAAATTTCTTGGTGTTTACTAATGAAAATTTCCGTCACTATTTGTTAATATAATACAAAGATATAATTTTCCATTTCTATATTTTGTTAGTTGTTGGGTTTGAAAACATTATATATATAATGCAGTGTTAATCTATTGGTGATCCGTTGGTAATTCTCTTCTCGTGGCATTTTAATAAATTCTTATAGTGATATATGATTACAAAACACTAGAAGCCGATATTTAGGCTAAGTTGACGCAACTCACCAGAAGTTGACATATAGCACCAATTGACACATACGATTACAATCGTTTTATATTTTTANGAAAAAAAAAAAAAAAAAAAAAAAGAAGAAGAAGAAGAATTACAAATATGATTACAATTTACAGAGCACCATGAGTCGAAATTTAGGCTCAATAAACTAGGCATTTTTATGTAGTGAGGGTCATAACAATAATATAGTGTTGGGATTAAATTGGAAATCATTTTGTTCCCATCCACAGGACGCAGACTTAGCCGAAAATGAAGTAATATTCGGCCAGCACATAGATAAAAAGCTGTTTCAACCAATGGGCAAATTTACAGTAGCTCTGCCTTTGTATTTGATGGAAAAAGACCTCTAGTGGCAACTAGTGCAAGTGTGCAACTTTAATAATTTCTTTTATTTGAGAAAAACTGTTCAGTAGATTTTTATTCTTTTTTTGAAAATGACGTTGAGTATTGTACATTGTTCCATATGTGTTTCTTTCTTTCAGATTTTGCCTTTTGCCCCTTAATCTCTTTGGATTTTCTTTTAATAGGCGGTACTAATTGATATTGATATGATAAATAGACTCGATTCTACTTTTTAACATCAGTGAACCTATTCAAAATGTTCCCTTACTAAAATCAGGGATTTCTCAAAACCGACTAAAATTCCAGCCCCTCAACTTTACCGTATTCTCAATTTTCGCTCTAGTAATTGAAGTTATGTATAGCAAAGGAGATTGGTACACTAATGTTGGCCCTCAATTGCAAAGTTTGTTCAAGAAACTCCTCATTGACTCAGTGCCACTTTAGCTAATTTGGGATCTTGTTTGTAATTTCCTTAAGAATATGCAATTGAATTTGGGATGTAATAATGTGTGTAACATTTGTGAACAACTTTGATGAAAAGATTTCATCCGTATATCCAAATGGGGGCTCATTAATTTGTTCTTACTTGCTTTATTTTTTGATGAATCAAATGATCAGAGCTCCCCTGTATATTCTTGTTTATATTAGAGTTCATTAATATATATGTTTCGTCCATATGTTTATTGGATGCAAAAGGTCGATTACAACGGGAGAAAATTAAAAACAAAAAAAGAAAAGAAAAGTAAAGAAGTTGAAAACTATAGAGCTTTTTCACTAGTTGATGTCCATTCAAAGCCCATGTTGCTTTCCGTACGAGACACAGTCAACTGTCTGAAATCCGACTCTCTCGTTCTGTAGATCATAAACAACTTCGATGTTCTGCTGTTGGAAGCTTCCAAACACGGCGGCTGCCGCCTCGTCGTCATCCATTTTCTGCATAATTAGACACACAGGCCTAAACGAGCCGTTGGGTGGAGCCACTTTATAAAAGACATTCCCGGGGGGTAGTTTAAGGCTCACATTGTTCAAGAAATGGAAAGTGATCGAGGGAAAACCGCGGGGTTTCGCATACTTGGTAGGGACTTGGTAACATAGGTCAAACGACGACTTAGCCTCCACGTCTGAGGCCCGACTGTATTTTACCATGGACTTTATCGCCTCCTGAAGTTGCGAATAAAGAGGGTCGGGTAAATGCGTGTTGCTAGTTGAGGAGTCGATCAACATGCCGCCTTCACCCAACGGGCTAAACACTCTCAAGCTTTCGGGGGCTTGTATATTTACCTTGTTGCCCACGGTAACACTCTCGAGACCAATGTAGTACAAATACTGGGACATGGGATTCCATAGCATTGGGGTGAACTTCAAATGCTCTTTCAAGGATGTCGCTAGGTGGCCTAGAATTAGTGGGGCCGAAACATTAGGGTTGCTCGATAAATCGAAAGATAAAAAGCAATAAGCGAACCCGTTATTCGTAAACCCTAGCTGCGAAGGAAGTGAGAGCGGGCCTTTTCCGAACCCTATGAGACCCAACTGCACTCTATATGAGGATTGAGCACAACCGAAAGAAATATATTGATTCGTATTGGGTCGATTCTTTGCGTGGAGTACGATGGTGTCATTAGCAAGAAACCCGGCCACGGCCCCATCGACATAAGAGTACACAAACGAAGGGCACGGTTTAGAGCATTTGTCGTGGACTATGTCCCTCAACGCACAACCGGCCGTGGTGCAAGTGTCGTAATAGTCGGAGTTATGAATATCAGCACAAAGAGGACTCGTGCAAGGCTCGCTTGCTATCGACTTTGACAAGGAAGGATTGAAAAACGAGGTATTGTATTTAGTATAGTACGGGTCAGTGCAATCGATGCATTCGAAATGGTTGGATGAAGTCCCACAATGCATCCAGACGAGATCGCTACCCGTGCTAAGGAGTAAGTTGTCGATGGTTTGAGAAGGAGAGCCTACTGAGAGGGACATAACGTGCCCGTCTCGTATCTCGTTGAGTGGCACGATGCCATCGGGTGTTTTCTTGGACGTGTAATCATAATAGTCGAGTTTTCGAGTAGGACGAATTTTCGACCTCGAGTGAGTTAAACTTAGGATTAATGAGTTTGAGCTACCATTGGCATGGAGCTCAACAAAGATTGAGGCTATATGAAGTAGAAAAAGGAAATGAAGAGTGGAAAAGGTTATGAAGGAAGACATGTTATTTTGACTCAATTTAGTAGTTAATGAGGCTTTGAGAAGTAAAGAATGAAGATGGTGTATGAGGAAGTTCATGGATGGTGGTGATTTATAGACCAGCATTTTGCAGTTGAGAGAATGTTATAGAGTGTATAGGTGTATAATAATAGTATGTTTTTTCTTTTAATGTAATTTGTACCAATTTTTTACTTAATATATGTGGTAACAAAAGAGTCAAACCTTTTTTTTTTTCGAAACGATAGAATTCATTCACTAAATACGTAATTATAACTGACTCACTAGCCGGAATAGGAGGACTACCCAAGGCAGTCTAGATACCACAACACGTCTGTTTCATTTGTTTAAAAGCAATATTCAACTGCCCTTCAAAAATATCAAGCCATCAAATCACAAATTTTGTTTTATAATGCCCATTATGAGTAAAAAATATAAAAGCTAAAATTTGTCAAATTGAATTATATGTCAAGTTAGATGATTCATGACATAAGTTCTCTGGCGGCCACCAAATTTCAAAAACTTTCACCATTTCTTCTCATAAAAGAGAGAAAGAAAAAAAAGAGGAAAGAAGACAAAATCCTCAATTTATTTTGAAATTATTATGATGCATAAGAGTGTAGGGTGCAATTATATAACAAATCTTATTATGACTTTGGTGTTAAAGGAAAATTCATTTCTGTTAATAAAGTTTTCTTTTTCACTAAATCCAAAATTTATTCGCTTTCACGCTTTGTTTTATAATCATTAATATTTAACCATCGATCTATACCTAGTTATCTTTTGAAAAATTCCAAATTAGTAATTATTGCTACATATTTTCATAAGTTGCAATATCTTACTCGTTATGTATTTTGGTATGTGATTGGCTGAAAAAATGGTTTAAGAAAAGAAGGAAAAAATATATGGAAAATGAAGTCTAAAACATATAAAAATTACACTCTTCTCATCATGAAATTATCCCGTAAAATTGCCACACTTCAAAAAACGACGACATATGAATCGTATATATTGGTATTTCATGATATATCACAAGTGTTCGAAGACAATATTAGTGTTTCAGAATTCTAAAGAGTTTAAGAAAAATAAAAGAAATAATACACTATGCAATACGAACTTTAAAATGTAATTAAGAGCACTTGGCTCTTTAGATTTCGGTATATTTTTATGAATTTGTGGCATATAAAGTATTTATAGAAGTAGTGTTTCTCACTAAAAATTGATGCAACCTGAATAAGCACATTTAATTGTAAAAATATCCAAGAAAGCAAATAGTTAGTGAATGCCGAAATAGAATGTTGTTCGGTTTTTATCCTTCAATATTTCTAAAGAGATTATTCTCCAAATCTTTCTTACTATCTCTACATTTATGGTGAAAATCCAAAAGCTATTTATAGTGTAGTACAATTGGTCATATACAACATTTCAGTATAAGTTTTTTACAGGTTTTTGGTTTTAGATTTAAATCTTCAACCTACTTTTGCTTTTGTGTTCCAATCTCTACTTAAAATTATTACTTGCAGTCTTATTAAATATTAACATAAAAGTTTTTCATTTAACTCCCCATCAATTAAAAAAAATAAAATCACGTCACTATCACAAGAGTTTAACAGTTTTTTTTTTTTTAAAAAAAAATCATTTATAGCACTTTCTTCCTTTCTTCCTCCCTTTCTCCTACAAATTTTTTCTTTGTTTTTTCAAGTGTTGTACATTGAAATCCGGCAAAAGACGGTAGTGACAAACTCCCGCGAAAGATGGACACGATGGTCGCCGGCAAAAGAATGAAGGATGCTATGTCTGTCGGAGAAAAACAGATGCGACGAACTCAGACGAAAAACGAACGAACGCTGGAAAGAAGGACGCGACGAACGTCAGCGAAAGACAGACGCGACAAACTCTAACAAAAGTGACAAACTCGGACGAACTCCCAATAGAGAAACTCACGTGATCATCTCTGGAACACTCTCAACCCGCCTTTTTTTTTTTCTGGCGAAAGAATATTGTCTCTCTCTGTGAAATCTCTCGGGGGTCTGAGGTGAATGTTTATTTAGTTTACGTTTGATTTTAAAAACGGAGAGTTCTTTTTCTTTTTTGCTGGAAGGTTTGAATATCATTTATTCGACTCATTTATGACTGACCCGTCTGTGGATAATGTAGTAGCTATTTTATTTGTATTGGATACCAATTTTTGTTGGAAGGTTTGAAATTCATTTATCCGACTCATTGATGCACGATCAACGTGAGGGGTTTCGCCGCTTGCTAGTGGTGTCCTAAGGCGGAAAAAAATTTACATCTAATTTCAATATTTCCCGAAATTTAAAAAATACCAAATCAAGTGAATGGATGTTTGAGGTTCTTGATGCCGACAAAAGTTGTGTCACGAATTTACATTATCGTACTTATTCCTGTAGAAAATGAAAATTATTTCCTATAAGCATGCATGTTCTTGTATAGAGTTTAAGTCAATGCTAGAGCCGTCTATGATTTTTGTGATCCATACTACCGTGTTGGGATATATATGTAAGATTATTAGAGTATATTTAATCATATACCTAATTACGGTCATAATATAATAGATTTATTTACATGTATCTTCATTATAAATCTAACTTTTGAATTATTGTAGTACGTGTAATGTAAGATAATGAAATATTAATCTATACTATTATAAAAGGACGAGTGATTTTGTAAAACTAATGATCTGCCTAAAAAACTCTTACTTTGACATATTTTTAATGGCAAATTAGTAATACAGTAATATCCATCTTATTTTATATTTTTAATTAACAAATGAACTACCTAAAAACCCTTATTTTGACTTAATTTTAATGGCAAATTAGTAATACACTAATACTCTTCAAATCTTATTTTTTTTTGTAATCACTAATATTTAATTAAATAAATAACGGCGTAACATTGAAAACTATTACGATACACGCCCAAAGTATGACTCAAATAATTCTAAATTTTACTAAAAATGATGGAGATTGAGGTGGTCTTTGAAGAAATCGTTATGATTCTCTTAACTAAGTAGCTATTAGAAAAAAAATAACTCTTCCACATAAGTCCACCAAAGCAAATTGGTTCTTGTAAACAATATCTACAAAATAATCTTATGTAATATTTAGTCCAAATGTTTTATTATATTCTATGTCTAAATGTTGTGCTAACTAAAATGGTAACTCAAAATACTACTATAAAATGACGAGTGTTTTTGTAAAAGAAAGAACTAACTAATATACCCTTACTTCGGTATATTTTTAGTGGCAAATTAGTAATAACATAATATATATCCCATCTTATATTTTTCTTATTAATAACTAATATTTAACTAAATTCCCTTTATTTGACATATTTTTAACCTCAAATTAGAAATACACTAATTCTCATTTAATATTTTATTCATTTAATACAATTAAATGAACAAAACATTCCACATCTCTTAAAATCAACCACAATATTCACACCATTATTCTTCAAGAATTTGGTTTCTTCCACATATCTCTCAAACCGTTTTCTTCAACATCTCTAAAAAATCAACTCAACATTAACCCAAACAACAAAATTTTGAAATGATATTGAATTTTTGTTTTGAATAACGTCCTTATTTTTAATATAATTTTGATGATAAAATCGTAATCATATATAATGATTTTAATATATAAAATTTATTTAAACAAAAAATTATGCAACAAAAACAACATAATAAATACTTATAAAAGATCTAAGTATTCTCAACTATTTGTTTACCTATCTTTTAACAAAACGATAAATCTTGGTAAAACATGATAACTTAGTTAAGAGGTGAATTTTATATAATAAATAATTTCTAAGATACATACATAACTTTAATTAAGAGAAGATACCTAAAATATTACCGAAATCATGCACACGTGGAATATATACATAATATAACAAACTAGAAAAATGGAAGAATTCATTTAACTAGATCATTATTTAAGAAAAATAAACTCTTGCATTTAGAACTAGAATTGGATTGCACCTTAGTTTTATTAGATTGAATTTTGATCCCACAAAAATCGTCATTGTTTAGTGGTTTGTATTTTCAAATTTTGGTCGCAAAGCTTATAGAGTTAACGAATCTTCACGTGACCATTAAGTGATTAATATCAAGTTGCGTAATTTTTTTAATTATTAAGACTTAAATTATTTGAAATTTTTCATTCAATTATGAATAAAAATGTTCCTGACATTTTAACTATTATTATTATTATTTTATTTGAGCAATTAATTTTCAAGTTGAGTGCTCTATAAACGATTATAATTCAAAATTTAATAAATAAAGTATTTTATTTATTGATATTATTCAAGATTCTTAAATACTTTTATGATTTTCTCAATAAAATTTAAGAGTTTATTTAACCGTAAGTATCTTATCAAATAAGATAACTGTTTCAACAATATTTATTTTATTTTACAAGTTTATTAATAATTATAAGTAAAATATTTAAAATCGATGTTGTTTGTCCTCATAACGACCACAAACTATATAAATATTTTTTTTTTCAAAATAACATATAAAAAGAAAAGAATAAATTATGTAATAATATGAGATATAATTTTATTGAGAAAATCATTTTGCAACCTAAACTTCTAATCTACTCAATTTCTTTACGTAAAATAAGATTAGAATAATTTTATGAAATTATATAATACTAAAACCCGGTCCTATTTTTTCATGTCAAATGGGATATTAGTTGAGCAGCATGATTTTATTTTGATCATACAATTTTCTACGAATTAATTAAGATATCTAAAGAATCGTGATATGCTTATACGTAGAAAATTATTTATTTTTACCAATAATTATATCATATATCACCATTACACATCTATTATTAATAACTATAAGTAATAAAATTGAAATCCATAATGTTGTCCTCATAACACCCATAAAGTAAAGAAACAGTTTTTTTTCTTTCAAAATAACCTATAAAAAGTAATAATTTGTGTAATAGTATGAGAGATTAATTGTTGAATGATTGTTTTGCAATCGAAACTTCTAATCAACCCAATTTCTTTGCTTAAAATAAGGTTAGAATAATTTTATGAAAATGTATAATACTAAAACCCAACCTATTTATTTTCATGTAATGAATGAAAAAATTGTAATTATATATAATAAAATAGAACGATGTACAATTAATTGATATATAATAAGACATATGACCCAAAAAGTTCCATACTTAATTTTATGTATTCTTTAACAAATATAACAGTTATATATTAAAAAGAAAAAATCCGTTTAACAGTTATATATAATAAGACAGTTATATATATATATATATATACACATATATAAACATATAAAATCACAATATAAAAGAAAAAAATATTAAATTTGACAAATAATATTAAAAATCCGTTTAAGTTGTAACACTTATTAATAAATATTAAAAAGTAACAATAAAATGTTATAGTTAATAAAAATAAAAATAAAACTTTTAAAACTTGTACTTATCGATGTAAACGAGTTGAGTCACTATTAAAGGAATTAAGAAAGCTAATATTGACTTTTTGGTGGATTCAATTTCTTAACGCAATTCAGGTGTTATTAAACACTTGTTAATTTTTTGTTCTTATTAATTCTAAGTGTAAGTTTTAGGTGATAGACAATAGTTATTTGTACTTTTATCCATCATTATCTTCAAATTAATTTAAAATATATACTGAATCATGATATGCCTATATACGTTGAAAATTAATTATTTTTTCTAAGAATTTATATCGATATAGTAACATTAATCACCTATCTATTAATATGTATTATTACAATAAATCTGCTTTATTAAAAAATATACAAAATATATTTTTTTAATATTTGATAATAATATTAATTAGAAAATTGTAATTATACATAATATAATATAAAGATGTACAACTATAATAGATATAATAAGACATATGACCAAAAAAAGTTATATACTTAGTATTATGCATTTTTTTTAACAAATTTAAAAGTTATGATACATAATATTCAAAATATTAAATCTGATACATAATATTAAAAATATAATTAAGTTGTAATACCTACTAATATATATGAAAGAAGTAATAACTAAAAATGTTATGATTAATAAATATAAATATAAAACTTTTAAAACTTGTACATATCGATGTAAACAAGCACGATTGTTACTTTTTTCGTGCTTATTAATTATAGGTGTAAGTTTTAGGTTACTGACAATAGTTATTTTTACTTTAATCTATGTAGGTTAGAGATTTTAATTTTTTTAAAAATAAATTGATTATTGTAAATTTAAATAATTTTTTATTTGTTATTAGCTTTTTTAATATAATATATAAATATTATATTGCATATAAAAATAATACTTATTTCCATTAATATGTAGGGAAAGTAATTCAATTGAGAAATTAATAGGTAATCTCAACATAAATTAACGAGTGACTTGTAAGAAAATTATATGGACTAAAAAGTAGATGTTTTAATATGTTTTAAATGAAAAATTATAAACATAATTAATAAATAAAAAAATTGCTACATATACATTTTAATGATTATGAAAGAATACAAAAATTTCATATTATAATAAAAAATCCAACAGTAAGGTATTCCACGAAAATACCAACAGATATTTCATTGGTATAGTTTCTATTGAAAAGATTCACTGTATATTCCAATGGTGAGTAAATTAAATTACATTGAAATTTTTGTGGATTTAATATCTCAATTACTAATATTCATTTTTGTATGAATTTATGTTGGATTTTTTTCGGCCATATTTCAACCATTAAAAAAATTGTCACTGAAATTGGGAAAAACAATGAAAGTTCAATTGAAAAACTAGCTGCAGTGGTGAATCCAAAATAATTTCATGTTAAGAGCATTATCTAATTAATACAAAAAGTATTGCATCAAAACAACATAATGTCATTACAATTTATAAAATATACTTTTTTTAATTTGTCAACTTTCTCATATGTAATACTTTTTTTAACACATCAATACAATCACAATAATTTCAATAATATTAAAAAAAAAAGCATAGTTTTTCTCAATTCGACATAAAAAAATCATAAAAAAATAATACATTTTTCAAAATCTTTTTATGAACAAAAATTTTATGTTGTAGTATAGTTGACTCGACAATGTAATAGATGATTGTATAAATTACGCATACTTGGTAGGGACTTGGTAACATAGGTCAAACGACGACTTAGCCTCCACGTCTGAGGCCCGACTGTATTTTACCATGGACTTTATCGCCTCCTGAAGTTGCGAATAAAGAGGGTCGGGTAAATGCGTGTTGCTAGTTGAGGAGTCGATCAACATGCCGCCTTTACCCGACGGGCTAAACACTCTCAAGCTTTCGGGGGCTTGTATATTTACCTTGTTGCCCACGGTAACACTCTCGAGACCAATGTAGTACAAATACTGGGACATGGGATTCCATAGCATTGGGGTGAACTTCAAATGCTCTTTCAAGGATGTCGCTAGGTGGCCTAGAATTAGTGGGGCCGAAACATTAGGGTTGCTCGATAAATCGAAAGATAAAAAGCAATAAGCGAACCCGTTATTCGTAAACCCTAGCTGCGAAGGGAGTGAGAGCGGGCCTTTTCCGAACCCTATGAGACCCAACTGCACTCTATATGAGGATTGAGCACAACCGAAAGAAATATATTGATTCGTATTGGGTCGATTCTTTGCGTGGACTACGATGGTGTCATTAGCAAGAAACCCGGCCACGGCCCCATCGACATAAGAGTACACAAACGAAGGGCACGGTTTAGAGCATTTGTCGTGGACTATGTCCCTCAACGCACAACCGGCCGTGGTGCAAGTGTCGTAATAGTCGGAGTTATGAATATCAGCACAAAGNTAATAATAAAGTTAACAAATGACTAAGAGTATCATAATATAGTATAATTCAAATTCTTCTCATCTGAAATATTTTACTTCTAAATATTGTCTCATTGTTTTGTTTTGTTTTGTTATTATTGAAGAATCAATGAAGGATCTTTATCTTGAATTTTTTAAGAATTAGTTATGATACAAAAGATTGGACAATAAACGCAATAAATGTTATTAGACACAAAAATATTGCAAATCTGAAAGAATATGGAAGATATCTATCTTCCAAATTAATAACACTGAAAATGGAATGTTTAATACTGATTAAAATATTTTTGAATGTTGAATAAGTTGTCACTTTTTGATAAGAATTTACAATCATAATTGTGTATTGTGCTCGATCATACGCGCATTTGTTTTAGAGTACATATTTTCATGTAATGTGTGATGATTTCAAAAAAATAATTTAGCATCTTCATAGAAGTACATGATTTTGGAAAACTAAATTTTATTTAGAGATGAAATTCGTTCCCACCTCATGGGGTAAGTACTAATTTGTCTATATGGAGAGAGAGAGAGAGAGAGAGAGAGAGAGAGAGAAATGTAGTAGTTTATACATTGATTAAAAGAAATATCAAGAATTTTAATGACACAAATATCAAGAAATTTAATGATACAATTGTTTATTTCACAGAGATAGTTGAACTATTAGTAGAAATACCTTATAATGATCATACAATCATAAAGTTTGACTATATATTTGGCTAAAGTATTTCTAAGTGTTGAATAAAACAGTCTAAGTGTTGAATAAAACAGACGTTTTGCAAAATTAATTAAGAAGAATTTTGTAATACTATTGATGTATTAGAATTCAACGAGTATGAATGTTTCTTATGAGAACATCAAAACCAAAATAAAAGAAAATGACTCTTGAATCTAACATAAATAAATAAAAAAACTCATGCATCTATAATATACATTATGTCTTTATTTAGTCATTTATTGTTTTTTCATTAGGAACTCATTTTTCATATATTTTTGTTGGAGTTGTAATATGATATTTAAATCTTTTTATACTACGACAACATTTTTATATTTAAAATAAAATGCATGAAAAGTTTATTTATTCTACATTTTATTTTGTTCCTGCAGTCATATGTGTAATAAATTAATTAATTTATCTTACTAAATTTAATCGCTAAAAAGCATTCGTCGCCACGTGCATCGCACGTGCACTTTACTAGTAGATAAAAGTGAGTGACTATGCGAATATATATACACCATATAATTACGTACCTTACAATCAAGCCTCAATTTTTTAATAATTCGAAATTAAATTTATAGAATGGTATACAATATTTATTCCACCATCGTGGAATTGTGAATAATAGTGATATTCAATTTTATATAATATTATATGAATTAATTAGAAATTATATTGTTTGTTTGACATAATCATCACATTTAGTAAACTAAAAATATTGTTAAGAAATATCGTTTTGATAAAACTTGTTATATATATATTTATACTAGATGAACCGGAGTGTTATATTACTATTGCATTTTTGTTTACTTGCATCATAGTTTTTAGAATAGAAACAGATACACATTTTATAATTTTTATAAGCACTCAAGGTCAACATTAGTTATATTTATGATTCTCAATTGTACTAAATTCTTAAAAAAAGTAAGAGATAAATTTATTTACTTAAAAATAAAATAAAATTATGTTATTATTTATATTTAAAATAATATTTTCACTTATACTATTTTTTGGTTTTATATAATAATAATAATTTTTAATATGCTATGAATCTATAGATACTTTTTTAAATTGGTATATAATCTTATTAATTTTTAATTAGTGTTAAGGATGACTTACTTTTATAAAAAGAAAATAAAATTATTTATTTGATATATTATATACAAAAATCTAATAACAAGTAAAAAAGTCATTAACTTTTAAATATATTTATAATAATAAGTACAAAAGTCATTAACTTTTAAATATATTTATGAACTAAGATAGTAAAGCATTTTATAATTTCAAAAGTCCTTATAGTATAGATAGAACACAGACACACATGCATGTGTTACACCAAATTATACTCGTATATACATAAACGAAAGTTTTGATTTGATGGTTTAAATCATTCTCAAAAACTTTGATTGTTATTTATATTTAAAATAAGACTCATGACTTGATAATATTTTTTAAAGTCATAATATATAATGAGTTTAATAACTTATCGATAAATAATTTTATTTGTTAATTAATATTAATTGATATATATTGTAATTCTTATTATAAAGGTAACTGTATATATAATATCAAATTAATCGTTTCATAACGAGTTTCGATTTGACATGCGCGTGCGCACACACGCACATATATATATATGATAATAAATATAAACATTATTAATTTTTAAAATATATTTATACTTTAAGTTGGTCAATTTTTTATAATTTTAAAAGTTGTACTATTTCAACACAAGCAAACATAATTTTAATAGTCGGACTATTTAAGTCTTTAACACAAGCAAACAAACAAGAGTAAGAAGCAAAAAAATTCGACACATAGAATTCAACAAGAAATAGACAAGTAACATCGGAACATTATGCATTAATATATAGCGAGCAATTATATCCAGGATTCATATTTTCACATTTTTATTTTTGATTTTCCCTAAATTTGAACATATCTTCTTCATCTTTATTTTATTCCAATCCAAGAAAAGGAAAATTAATTAAACAAATGGATCTGAGGCAATAATACAATTTCAAAATCCCATCTCTTATTTCCACAAATATATTTAATTTATTTTGTAAAGTAAATAAAAACACAAACAACATTCAATAATTTATACCTAATTTATTTTGATATTATAATAAAACACTTATGAACTATATGACTTAAATATTTTCAAAAATATTCTAATGAATACTACTTATAAGCTTTGTAAACATATATCAGCTACTAAATAAGTATACAAAGTTGGACAATTAAAAAATANTTATGAGTAAAAAATATAAAAGCTAAAATTTGTCAAATTGAATTATATGTCAAGTTAGATGATTCATGACATAAGTTCTCTGGCGGCCACCAAATTTCAAAAACTTTCACCATTTCTTCTCATAAAAGAGAGAAAGAAAAAAAAGAGGAAAGAAGACAAAATCCTCAATTTATTTTGAAATTATTATGATGCATAAGAGTGTAGGGTGCAATTATATAACAAATCTTATTATGACTTTGGTGTTAAAGGAAAATTCATTTCTGTTAATAAAGTTTTCTTTTTCACTAAATCCAAAATTTATTCGCTTTCACGCTTTGTTTTATAATCATTAATATTTAACCATCGATCTATACCTAGTTATCTTTTGAAAAATTCCAAATTAGTAATTATTGCTACATATTTTCATAAGTTGCAATATCTTACTCGTTATGTATTTTGGTATGTGATTGGCTGAAAAAATGGTTTAAGAAAAGAAGGAAAAAATATATGGAAAATGAAGTCTAAAACATATAAAAATTACACTCTTCTCATCATGAAATTATCCCGTAAAATTGCCACACTTCAAAAAACGACGACATATGAATCGTATATATTGGTATTTCATGATATATCACAAGTGTTCGAAGACAATATTAGTGTTTCAGAATTCTAAAGAGTTTAAGAAAAATAAAAGAAATAATACACTATGCAATACGAACTTTAAAATGTAATTAAGAGCACTTGGCTCTTTAGATTTCGGTATATTTTTATGAATTTGTGGCATATAAAGTATTTATAGAAGTAGTGTTTCTCACTAAAAATTGATGCAACCTGAATAAGCACATTTAATTGTAAAAATATCCAAGAAAGCAAATAGTTAGTGAATGCCGAAATAGAATGTTGTTCGGTTTTTATCCTTCAATATTTCTAAAGAGATTATTCTCCAAATCTTTCTTACTATCTCTACATTTATGGTGAAAATCCAAAAGCTATTTATAGTGTAGTACAATTGGTCATATACAACATTTCAGTATAAGTTTTTTACAGGTTTTTGGTTTTAGATTTAAATCTTCAACCTACTTTTGCTTTTGTGTTCCAATCTCTACTTAAAATTATTACTTGCAGTCTTATTAAATATTAACATAAAAGTTTTTCATTTAACTCCCCATCAATTAAAAAAAATAAAATCACGTCACTATCACAAGAGTTTAACAGTTTTTTTTTTTTTAAAAAAAAATCATTTATAGCACTTTCTTCCTTTCTTCCTCCCTTTCTCCTACAAATTTTTTCTTTGTTTTTTCAAGTGTTGTACATTGAAATCCGGCAAAAGACGGTAGTGACAAACTCCCGCGAAAGATGTACACGATGGACGCCGGCAAAAGAATGAAGGATGCTATGTCCGTCGGAGAAGAACAGATGCGACGAACTCAGACGAAAAACGAACGAACGCTGGAAAGAAGGACGTGACGAACGTCAGCGAAAGACAGACGCGACAAACTCTAACAAAAGTGACAAACTCGGACGAACTCCCAATAGAGAAACTCACGTGATCATCTCTGGAACACTCTCAACCCGCCTTTTTTTTTCTGGCGAAAGAATATTGTCTCTCTCTGTGAAATCTCTCGGGGTCTGAGGTGAATGTTTATTTAGTTTACGTTTGATTTTAAAAACGGAGAGTTCTTTTTCTTCATATACAAAAAAAAAGAAAAAAAAGAGTCAATAATTGTTGATTGTTGCTCATATCTACCAACTATTCATATTGATATTAGGTTATGTCAATTTCGCGTAGATGAACATAGTAAGATTGATGCATGCGTATGATACCCGTTTGTGGATAATGTAGTAGCTATTTTATTTGTATTGGATACCAATTTTTGCTGGAAGGTTTGAAATTCATTTATTCGACTCATTTATGACTGACCCGTCTGTGGATAATGTAGTAGCTATTTTATTTGT